TGGTGCAATGAAGTCATTTTTTATTATTCAGTACGAAATTAAACAGGGTGCAAAAGCAGCACTTGCAGTTTCTTACCGGTTCCTCTTCTTCTTTTCTCGGTACAAGGTTTCCCGTAATAGATTTACGAACTATAAGCACAGAGTTTTGACTTTCTTATATGCTTGTAACTAGTAAGCCAACTTGTCTATAAATTTATTCAATAAATTGTATTGACTGAATAAATTTCGCTTACTCCTCATTAAGTGAGATACCGTGCGTACTGTGTCACAATTTTAGTTCAGAGCATCTTGTTTAGTAGTAAGCATAGAAAACTTGAAACACCTACATAATCTTTGTATTATATTATTTGTAAAAGAAACTTTGATGAATAAACAAGAGAAAATAAAGAAAACAAAGTTGGTAGATGAAAAAGTGATATAATTTATAAAAAAAGTAACAATTGGCATTTTATTTAAAAATTTGGTTAGCAAAAAGAAAACAGCTGATAAATCAATGGGCAAGCATACAAATATTTTCTCAGCACTAAAACTGTCTGCAATTCATGTTCTGTGAACAATCATGATAACGATTAGCAATTTAAATACAAAAAGGTAGCGTATTTTATGATGCATCAGCAAAATAAACAGCCACGCCGCAAAATAATTATTTGGGTATTAAGTTTATAATATTGAACAGCAAAACCTTTAAATTTTTATTAAAATTGTTTAACTCATTTTATTGTAATTTTACTGGGAGTATATTATGATCAGAATTTTATATTTTAATATTATTATATATTGCATTCTAATTTATTTCAATTAAAATATATATGACCGCAAGACTAAAAATAAGGTACATTTATAGAATAACAAAATGACTATATAACAAACTTAATAAATAAATCAGTAAAATCAAATGAAAATTAACTAAGTGTAATAGACACAAATATTGTAAAATTAAGTTAAGAGTGTCCGTTATGGGGATGTTCTTTAGTTTTTTCCTATTATTAGATATTCACTTTCCACTATTATAACGGATATTACTCCTTCAGAAGGTTGTAAATGAAAACACTAAGATTTATCACTGAAAAGTTATATTGTCACTATCACTGAAAAGTTATATTACAAAATTATATAGTCTATAAACTATGTGCGTACTGAAAACAGTTATCTACGAGTTAGCGCTAGGTGTGACGGAGAACGACTGGCGAGCGCGAGCAAGTGTGCTCCGACGCAAGCTAAAAATGTTAAGTCAGCGAAATTCATTTATGCTGTGTCCCTACAAAAGCAATTGTCAAAAATTCTTACCAGCGTATTTGATTGGCAATGCATCAACTCGTAATTTTATTATATTTAAAGTTCGATCAAACAACTTTTCCTAAAATGAAGTGAGCAGATAAAAGTAACTTTTTCATTATATTTAATATTTTCTGCTCCAATGGAACTCAGCCATATTCCTCTTTTTGTTTCATCTTTTGGTAATCTAAAATAATGAATATATTTTTAAATAATAAAATTATCGATATAAACCAAATGTTAAAGTAACAACACTAGCCATGTAAACAACATTATTTACGGACCGAAATATTATAAAAATATAAATATAATAAAATTACGAGATGATGCATTGCCAATCAAATACTCTGGTAAGAATTTTTGACAATTGCTTTTAACTTATTTAAAAAAAAAGTCTATTACACTTAGTTAATTTTCATTTGGTTTTACTGACTTATTTATTTAGTTTTTTATATAGTCATTTTGTTATTCTATAAATGTACCTTATTTTTAGTCTTGCGGTCATATGACGACTATTTTAATTGAAAAAAATCAGAATGCAATATATAATAATATTAAAATATAAAATTCTGATCATAATATACTCCCAGTAAAATATACAATAAAATGAGTTAAATAATTAAAAAAAATATTAAAAAATGCACACTTATCAAATTAAAGGCATAGTTAAAGGTTTTCTTTGCTGTTCAATAGTATAATCTTAATACCCAAATAATTATTTTGCGGCGTGGATGTTTATTTTGCTGATGCATCATAAAATACGCTACCTTTTTGAATTTAAATTGCTGACCGTTATCATGATTGTTCACAGAACATGAATTGCAGACTGTTTTAGTGCTGAGAAAATATTTGTATGCTTGCCTATTGATTAATCGGCTATTTTCTTCTTGCTAACCAAATTTTTAAATAAAATGCCAATTGTTACTTCTTTAATAATGTTACTGTTATGCCAATTGTTACTTATTCATCACCAACTTTGTTTTCTTTATTTTCTCTTGTTTATACAACAAAGTTTACAGTATTTTTATGTTCCTTTACCAAAAATATAATACAAAGATTATGTAGGTGTTTCAAGTTTTCTATGTTTACTACTAAACAAGATGTTCTGAACTAAAATTGTGACACAGTACGCACGGTATCTCACTTAATGAGGAGGAAGCGAAATTTATTCAGTCAAAACAATTTATTGAATAAATTTATAGACAAGTCGGCTTACTAGTTACAAGCATATAAGAAAGTCGAAACTCTGTGCTTATAGTTCAGCTATCTATTACGGGAAACCTTGTACCGAGAAAAGAAGAAACTGTAAGAAAGGAACCGGTAAGAAACTGCAAGGGCTGCTTTTGCACCCTGTTTAATTTCGTACTGAAAAATAAAAAATGACTTCATTGGACCAAAATGTCACTTTCCACCAAAACAATAAAAAATATATAACAGACAAAAAAAAGCATAATAATTCATTCGTCAATCGACTCATTAAAAGCTTATTATAGTTACCGTGGTAGTTATCTTGGACAGTAGTCACACTTCCCGTGGATGCAAAATTAAACTTATGTAAAAAAACTATTTAATTATAATTGCAAAATGTCAACTTGACAATATATATGGAAATAATTATAAAACACGATTGATATTATTGTAAAACTTTTAAGATATATATTTTGGTACTATAGTTCTTAAAACTATGTAAAATTGGCTATATTAGAGGAAAAAGAAACATATTTATCGAGGTACAATCATATTATAAAATTATATTATTAAATAATATAAATGTGAAAGTTTGTGAGGATGGATGTTGGTTACTCTCATGTAAAAACTACTGAACGGATTTTGATGAAATTTGGAATACGAATAATCTTTTACCCGTGGGAAGCGCCATCATACGCTGGTAACATATGTTATATTTACTATAGTGACGCAACGGAGTCGCAAGAACAAAGAACGCAAGAAATTTTAGATGTCCAACAAAATACGAGCAAAAGATTGCTTACGACCACCAGCCCTTTTACGTCCCCACCGCAGGGGCTCAGGCCTTCCTTATGGATGGTTAAGGAGGATGGGCCATGACCCTCCACCTTGCCCTAATGCGGATTAGAGGGTATTGACGACTGCAAATGCAGCCGGGACCAACGGCTTAACGTGCCTTCCGAAGCACGGAGTAGCTCGAGATAATAATTTTTTGGTCACCCATCCCGTGACCGACCCTTGCGAAAGTTGCTTAACGACTACGATCGCGGGCCGCGGCGCTTATCCACTACGCCACCGAGCTACTCTTTGATTTTAAAAGATTGCTTAATGATTTATAAATAATTGATAAATTCACGCCACTTTTAAAATAATATTGTTTTCTTGATACTGGCGTGAATTTTTCAATTTAATTAATAATAATCATAAATAGGATTGGTACGTAAGTGTGAAATGAATAGAAGTGTAATAGGTAATAGTTTAGCCATGCCCCTAACAATGAAAATTATATTATATTATTTAATAAGTAGTAGTATTGTAGCAGTTTCACGAAATACTAACTTTTATTTAATATGACTTCAATGTCGATACAAATATCGATATCTTGGGTCACGCCCTATGACAATCCGCCATCGAAGAATTTGCATTTGAAGTTTAGGCATATAGGTGGGCATCTTTTTTTTTTTACTCCCCCTTCGTTTTTGCTATGTCCCTCGGATTTAACATTTATTTCTGATGTTTCTATAGATTTTAGATTGTAAGTGTCAATGAAAAAATCCATCAGAATATATTAAAGTGGTATAATATATTTTTTATTTTCATTTAACCCATAATAAATTTCACGGTAAAATAATTTAAAGTTTTGGGAACAGCAAAATTTTGTATGTCCCCTTTTACACTGTACCTCAACACACTTGAAATATTTCTTATTTGAGGCGACGCTGAATATGTGTTATTTGATATTCATAAATCTGAAATGTATATGATTTAATAAAAGTAATTACAATCTTTAAAAGTTATAACTGTAAAACAAAATCAATTTTCAAATGATAATCAAAATATTGACGCTGACCGGAATTTTCCGTTAAGTGACTTTAATTTACTTCGTGCAAAACCTCCAATTTGGTATGATTTTAAATTAGCGACAACATTACTTAACCCTTATGTCAGCGGAACGTCTTTTACATTTTAGTATCTGCCGGTGAGCGAAAAAAACGGTTGTGTTGGCAGAGTTTCTCTAGACTACAGGAAATTTCGTTCAGGTAAGTGACTGGATTTATGATAATAAATGTTTAGGTATTGTATTTCTTTTAGTCATGTACGTTAAGTATAACTTTAGCAATCTGCGCCATATGAATTTATACTGTTGCTTATGACTGTTAATTTTATATATTTTTTTTAATCAATGAGAGTAATAAAATGTGACTTCCATTTGGTGACCATATCTCTGGTCACGTATAAAGTGGAATGGAAAGTCACTACTGGCGGAAAGCATAAAGCACAGTTCACAGAAAATCACTATCACCTCTTGAAAGTTAAGATTGAGGCTCTATTCACTATCTTATATTTTGTATTATTGCTTGATATATATGATTATCTTATTAATTCTAATTTATTCTAATGTAAAATTTTATGCAAAATGAAATTATTTTTCGAAAAACCTAATCAACACATTAAAATGTAATTAATATTCCTAGTTACATTAAAATCCATCAAAGTTAACTTTGTTAACACAAATTATTATTATTTTCATAGACATAATGCCTCTCAGTGGGGCCGAAAAAACTAGAAGATATAGAGAAAAGCTTAAAAGGGACCGCCCTGAAGAATATGCTGCTCAATGTCAGAGAAATTTACAAAAAATAAAATCAAAGAAAAAAAAGATTTCAGATATGTCTTTAGAAGAAGCAAAAGCACAAAGACAGACATGGCGAGAACAAAAAAGAAAGAGTAAAGCTCGAAACAAAAAATGTAAAAATAGCTTACCAAATGAGACATCGAATCCTGAAATAGAGACAGACGCAGCGATGAAAGAAAAAAATATTAAAAGATACCACAATAAATGTAGAGTACTAGTCACAAAATGCCGCAGATACCAAAATTTGATCAAAGAATTAAAGACTCGAAATGAAACCTATAAAAAACGAAATCAGCGCATTACAAAAAGATATATAGAAAAGATTGCAGAGTTAGAGAATATTAATAAAAAAATGAAGGCGAGAGAGGAGATTCTTGAAAGTACATTAAAACGAACTTATAAAAATAGCAGAACTCACAAGGAAAAGAAAATATTGCGTCAACTGGTGCATAATGCCGAAAATAAAACCTATGTTTCAAATAAGCTGGGCTTAATTTGTAAACCTAAGGAAAAGAAAAAAATATTTAAGCGTCCAAATATACCGGAAATTACAAATTTTTATTTAAGAGATGACGTAAGTCGCAGTACAGCTGGACGAAAGGAAACTAGGACAAGAAAAAAAATAAAAAAACAAATAAGATACCTATCTGACAACTTAGTGAACCTATTTAACAAGTACAGAAAGGAAGGTGGACGATATGGACTATCTACTTTCATTAAGTACAAACCATTCTTCGTCATTGCTCCGCGTCTAAATTCCAGGGACACTTGCTTATGTATTAAACATAGCAATATAGAATTTCAGCACGATGCTTTAAAGAAGGCTGGAGCATTGAAAACTCGGACAATAAGAAATGTGTTGGATAGCATATCCTGCGATATAAAAAACTACTATTGCATGTACGATAAATGCACGATTTGCAGTGATCTGAAACCATTTTATGAACAATGTCCAGATAAAAATGTGTCTTGGTTCCAATGGAAACGTGAAGACCATGTTTACACAAAAATGGAAGAACATAAAAAAAAAGAAATCACAACTAAAAAAACAGCAAAGGTAATAATAACAGGAAATTTACAGGAACTGAAAAATAATTTCGAAAAAGACTTACATAAATTTAAAAAGCACTACTTTAACATGCTACACCAACAAAACCAGTACCAGATTGCTATATCGAATCAAAAAGATAATGAAGTTGTCATAGTTTGTGATTTTTCTGAGAACTATGAGGCAAAATTAGCAAATGAGGTCCAATCCTTGCATTTTGGCGCTTCAAAAAACCAAATAACATTACATACTGGCATGGTTTTTTGGAGAGATGAATCTCAATCATTTTGTACTATATCGGAATCAAATAATCATCGCCCAGCCGCTATCTGGGCACATTTAACTCCAATAATAAATATCATTAAAAATAAAACACCAAATGTAACGATTCTCCATTTTTACACAGATGGACCATCTTCCCAGTACCGACAGAAAAATAATTTTTATTTGCTAACTGAATTTACAAAAAAACTTGGATTTGATTATGCAACCTGGTCTTATTTCGAATCTGGCCATGGAAAGAGCGTTGCCGATGGTATAGGAGGTTGTGTAAAAAGAACTTTAGACAGAAAAGTCAGCCAAGGAGTTGACGTAGCAGATGCCGAAGATGCACACAAAATTTTGAATGAGTGCCTAAAAGTAACAAAAGTTTTCCTTATTAAAGAAAGTGATATAGATGAAATAACGGAAATTTTTCCTAATACCGTTCCGCCGCTGAAAGGAACTCTTCAAATCCATCAAGTTGTCACGCAAAAAGACCAGACAACAATAAAGTTCCGTAATATTAGTTGTTTCTGTGGACCTGTTCGTGGCCAATGTGATTGCTATTCACCTCAGTTACATAATACTATAACTACTAGAAAATGCCTCTCTTTCAACAAAAGAACCAATCTTTCACAAAATTTCGATCCTCAACCCTCTACATCTACTTCAATTGCTAAAAAACGCCAATCTTCCAATAAAATAATCTATCTTAAAGAAATTGTTGAAGCTCAGATTTCTACCACTACACAAATTTCTAACCAACAACAAGATTACAACAAAAGAGCCCATCTTCCAGAAAAAGTTGAAACTCAGCATACATCTATTCCAATTTCTAAAATACGCAAATCTTCCAACAAAAGAGTCAATTTTACAGGAAATGTTAAACCTCAGCAATTTACATCTACTCCGATTTCAAAGAACCGCCAATCTTCCAATAACTTTTCCAAAATCTTCGAACCGCAAAAAACTCTTCATTTGCTGCCTTCTGAACATAAACCTTCTATCATCTCCCCTGAAGAACAAACATCTCCTGAACAAAGTAGGCTATCAATGGTTTTCAAGAACAATCAATCTTATTCTAATGATAATAGTGGGAAGGAACTTTTACTTGAGATAGGTTCATTAATACCCTCTGATTTAGATTCTTTCAATAATATTAATATTGCTGACTCCGAAGACTTTGAGAAACTTGTCGATCTGAATGATATAGAAATATTACCAATGATTATATTACCAGACAAAAAAGACAAGACTAAGCCTGAAGTAACCGATAATACGATAAATGATAGTAATTTGATCAAAAATTATAGTACAAGTAAAAAAAAGGGTTTCATTGAATGCCAGAAGTGTACATGTACAATATTAGATAGAAAAGCCAAATGTATGGCTTGCCAAAAATGGTTTTGTGAGGAATGTGTCGACGGTCCTATAGAATTTGATTATATATGTGAAAAGTGCTTCGAAGGTAGATATTATTAAAACTAGCATAAAACGTTATTTGAATAAAATATAAATGGTAGGTATAGTTACTTAGACATAAATTATTAATAATTTAATTAATGTTTTTGTTACAGATTAAACTTTGTGGTGAAAAATGATGATCATTTACGCTGAGATCGATAATGCGTTGCATTTTGATGATTACAAGAGAATTATCGACTTAGCTTTAAAATGGCCCTGGAAGGAAACGCACTTTGTCATTGCCGAAAATTGTTTTGGTTGCGGCATAAATACAAGATACATTTCTCCTCCACATTTTTCAATGAATATGAATCTTGAAGATATTTTATATTTACTGCAAAATCCACAATTCTGGTGTTACAATTGCAAATATTGTGTTTATGATCATTTCCCTAGAGATGAGTGTATTTTTTGTGCTATTTAGTTTAACTTTATGACGTATGGATCTCTTTTTTTATCTAATTGATATTTAGTGATTAGTTTAGTCCTATTCATGGATCTCATATTTTTCTGATCGTATATTTAGTACCTAAGTATAATAATTTAAACTGCCTAAATAAGGCATTTCTCGTATGTGTTCAATTTGATACCTACTTGTATCTGTGACTAATAATAATAAAAAAGACTGATTGTCAATTATGTTCTCAATATGTTAATTAAAGTTACCTATTGTTGTTAATAATTATTGAATAGTTTTTGGACATTGTTTACTGGATTGTTACTTAATTAAGATTAACATTATCCTTGTTACTAAACTTTTAGAAAGCCCGAAGTTTTTTTCCAATGAATATTGTATTTTTGTTTAATTTTCATAAAAAAATATATTTCTAGGAACAACTCAATTTCTAAGTTTGGATAAACTGTACTGTTTGGGCTTCTTAATAAAAATAATAAACAGCTAAATAATCGTTTTTTTTTTTTCAATAATTCGTACCCACAAGTAATTGTTGTAAACGCACCCTACTGATTTTCAGGCGGTCAGTTTGGTCACTGTCCCTTCAAATTTGCGAGTTAATTCTTCCCTTTTAAACATTTTGCAGCGATAGAAATTATACAAAAACTACAAATTATTGTCAGAAATGATAGTTTTATTTCTTAAATAACATAATTTATGATTATAACAGTCAAAATCATGAATAAACTGAAAAATCATTAGTATGAAAGAACCCATGGTAAACAAACTGAACTATAATTATTTTTGTTTCTTACAATTCTTCAAAGTTGCTCATAAAACCCTCAAATTATGATAAACGACTAGCACATTATTATATAAAATTAATATCATTATTATTACTCAACAATTCTAAGAGATATTCCTATTTTAAATAAGTCACATAATGGAAATATTTTCTTGCCCTAATCAGCTTTGTGTCGATTTTGGTATCTATTTAAACGTACTTTCGATAAATGAAGCAAATTTTCATAAAATATAGAATATTTGCTTTAGTATTCCATAAAAAAATTTTAGAAAGAATGAAGTTTAAAATAAAGTTCAACTTTTCGCTATGGGGTGCAAAAAAAAAAGATGCCCAGGTACGCTTTTTTCGTAGATATGGCCGGTCCTCTTCTTTTATGTCTATGGAGAATACGCACTGCAACTTTGCAAATGGCGGACAGGTGGTACGATAGCTATATGTCATGACGTTACGTAAAAAATTTTGAACTGTCACACTAAAATAGTGTTATTAGTTAAAAAAAGACAACATGATGTTTTCGATGTCAACTTCAGATTGCATGATATTTATATAACCATAGAAAATATTTTCACTCTACCTTATCTCTATGTTTTTAAACCTTCGCGAGATATTATCTACCTAAGTAGGTACTTTATAGCATTTATAGTTTATGTCAAGCCATGAGTAAACGCTCAGAAAAAGCATTAGATTCATATACTCCAACGAAAAAACCTAAGCATTGGTCATTGGGTCTTCTTGAATCTATGAAAGACCCGCACTGTATAATAAAAGAAAACATAAACATTGTGGTTATCCAAGATAAGTATCCAAAAGCAAAAATTCACTATTTATTTATACCACACGAAAATATAGGTAGTATTCATAACTTAAACAGTGCTCACATTAGTCTTTTAGAGGAATTCAATAAGCTATTTGCAGAAGTCAAAACAGAACATCAGAATTATACTCTGAGAGCTGGATTTCATGCTGTACCAAGTATGCAAAGGATGCACATGCATGTAATAAGCAATGATATGCTCTCACCATGTTTAAAAACTAAAATTCATTGGAACAGTTTCACAACAGATTTTTTCATACCTCTCCAGGGTATGTAAAATTATCTCTGCCTTTCTTTTGTTCCAATCTTAATGTCGTAAAATAGTGTCCTTAACTGATTATTATTTTGAATTAAACATATGTTTCAGATATTATAAAGGAGTTGAAAGAGAAAGGATCAATTAAGAAAATATCGCCCGATCTACACAAGAAACTTTTAGCTACACCTTTACAATGTAATCAGTGTAGCATAAAACCTAAGAACATGCCAGAATTAAAAGACCATTTAAAATCTCACTACTGTAACTAGCACTTCTGTAAAAGTATTTTACGTTGTGCATAGTGTACCCTGATGTGCATAGGCAAAAACTAATAAGAACTTAGAAATCCATCATCTTGTTAAAATTAGAATTAAATATCAGTTGCACACTTGATACTATTAAGGGATAAATTTTGATTAATAAAACACTTTTTAATTTGTAAATTGCACTTTATTTGATAAACATTATCAAAATTGAAGAAAAAAAAAATAAGCATTTATGCTATTTCACTATGTGAATGTAACTCATTCATATTCCATATTCTTATAATACAACAAATTATCTATCGAGTTCAATAATACACAAATTATAAACTTACACATATTTATAATAGCTAAAAAGTTTGTTGAACATTGTAAGCCACTAGGTTTGGTATTCTGTAAAAATACAGCATGGAACACAGCACTGTCAAAGCATCAGAGGTTCTATCAAATAAAACCTACACTTTTATAGTCGAGTATTATTTGATTGAACCTCTAATGCTGTAATAGTGCTGTTCAACACTATATTCTTATAGATTAGCACTGTAGTACAGAATGCTTTATCCAAAAACATATTATAAACAAACATAAAATGTGGTTCCTTTCAAATATGAACACAAACCTGGCCTTACTAAACTAAACCAAATAGGAGATGGGATATTTTTGCTCATTTTTATTTATACTTGAGTATTTTACAATTTTCTACTTAATTAACTATCTACTTAACTACCTGTATATTTATAAAAACAAATTGAATTTGTTACATTTTTCCATTTTCAATTTCTAAATTTCCATCTTTAATTCTGATAAGTTTGAGAAAGATCATGCTGCTTTAGTTAAACACTACCCCTACAAGGTAGTTTACATGATCT